AGGCTGGAAAAGTAGCTCTCAAAGTCAGGCAACTATGTCGCCATGAGCACATTCTCTCCTCAGTACCACAGGTCTGTGTCCCTTCAACAGTGGGTAATAAATAAATAAATAAATGTAGTCCCAATGACACAATCTATAGACTAAAAACCCAAAGGCTGAAAATAACCAACCAAATGCAACAGTTTTTCCTCAAGGGAGTCTTCAAAATGCTTTCCCAGCTGGAAAGTCTAAACACCACTGTCTCCTCTTTAAGCAGGCAGCAAACAAACAACTGGCCTCAGCTGTGTCTCAGTTTGCCCCATGGTTCCCTTCTTCCCAGGACAAAACCAGCCAGGCCAGCCCCTCCTGCAGCAACCCCTTCTTACCACAGTCCTTCAGAACTGAAGGCACCTTACAATGCAGCTTCACCCACCAGGTCAGTAACTCACCCTCCCAACATGCCAAGCACAACTTGCCCTCAGACCCAGTATGGTGAGACACAAACCTGGCCTCTCAAGAACATGACTATCTGCTCTCAGGGTAAGTCCCAGAGCACAACACAGCCAAGTGCCACCAAAGCTCAATTACTCCTGGGACCAAACCCAGGTGCCCTTGCTGTGCCCTGCAACAGCTGAGATGTCTTCTCACTTGGCAAACAAGGTTGTCTTCACCAAAACTTTTCCAGTGTTTGCTGTGGGTGTAACAGCTGCCTCCAAAAAGTCACCATGGAGAAAACTTGAACAGCTTTTAAAAATTGGCAGTTCTAGTTATTTGACCTAAAGCCAAGGGTCCCATCAGTGGTCAAGGGGAGCTCATCATCCACACCAGTTTGGGATGGACACAATCCATGCCCCAGAGAGAAGCACATGAGAGAAAACAAGACCTTGCTGTATTTCTTAAATACTGAGAAATCCTGGAAGAAGGCAGCGAACCATGGCTGCAGAGACCATGAATTTAGAAGTTCCCAATGAAACAGAAATAGCAGAGGAAGATTTGAACAATGCAGACGTTTGTAATATAAACGGTGCAAACAGCCAAATCGGGTCGCAAAGGAATAGCAGTGGAGCAGCAGGCAAGGCAAAAATAGCAGGAAAGGAAAGATAAATAAAAAATTCCTAAAATATATGAAGAGCAAACAGACTGACAAGGAAACAAGAGGGCCATTGAATGGAAAAAGGAGAAGAGCTGTGCAGAGGCAACCAGGGTAGGCCAGAGATTTAATCCAGCCCCAGAGGGGAAGGCACAGGGAGGAAAGAAGACAGCTGAACTATTTCACTACATCAACAAGGAGTGGAAGAGGAAGATGACTTGGTCAGGAAATTGCAACCATCTGCACTTAGAAACTGCAGCACTGAATGAGCAATTTTACATCTACACTGTAAGACAGGTGTCACGCCTGGCCTGCTCTTCACCAGGGTGGATGGCTGCGGGGGACCTTCCTTCCCCACCCCCTCTAACCCACCCCTCACTGTTTCCCTGCTCTATTTGCTTGGTCTTTCTCCAGTTTGTTAGCTAGGTGAGACTATTTTGTGATAGCAATGAGTGTGGCAGGCAGAAAAGGGGTTCAATAATTCCTGCACTGAGGAGGAGGTCAGATTAATACAGCCCTGCATGAAGACAGAAGTCTCTGCCTCTCTTACTGCTTCTTGCTCCATTTCCACTGCTACTGTAGCAGCACCTCTGAAGCCTGGTGCAGAGAGCAGCTGCTTGTCACTGTCCTCTTCCAGAGACAGTAACTGTGGCTTTCCATTCTCCCACACTCCCTGGAATCCAGCCACCACAGAAGAGACAGTTATGTCCACAGAAATCTTTCTATGGTTCAAGCAACATGGGATTTGCCCACGCAGCAGAGGCATGAACCTCCATGTTCTTTCCCTCTTAACTCTCCACACCTCACCCTGCTCTGTCTTCCTCAAAGAAATTTCCATGACAGGTAAGAAGGGGAAAAGCTAAATTCCAGAAAAAAAACCATCTCTTTGCACCAAGTGGTTCCCAAGCTCTGAGAGAAAGGATACTATGCCCAACACCCGAGTAACAAGTCCAGGATGCACACAGACTAGCCCAGAATACAGTAGGGCCCTGTGTGAAAATTCAGAGTGAGAGGGTCAAGAGGTGAGCCTGGAGAGACTCAGGTAAGTAAAACACGAACAGGCAGTATAGCACCTACTAAGAAAGAGTCTACAAAGGAAGCAACCTTTGGAAGGAGTCTCCATCCCCTGCACAGAGCTGAACACCGCATGTCACTGGGTCAAGGCAAAGAGAAAAGAGCCCAGCTAGAGAGCCCATCTCCCCTCCAGTGGGCACCGGGAATGGGAATACACTGGGTGATGGCTGGCTGCTACCAATATGTTTTGGATCAGGACTGAGGATCTTCATCTCCTGCCTGTGAGGTCAGTCTTGCTTCTTCCTGCAGACATAAAGTCAAGACTCCCCGAGCTAACCCAAACTCTTCACCTGTTACAGAAAGGGCCTTAAGAAATAGCAGTTGAGAAAAACTAGCCTGGTTGTACTTTTTAAGTTATTATTTTTCCTTCCTACTTATGTAACATTTTTATACCCACCCAGGGTAAGTTGGGTGCTTCCAAGGTGCCCTCTGTAACTATCAGGGTTGGTAACTTACCTTTCCAGTGGAACATGCAGCTCTCACCTAACATGATCAGAGCCAAATTCAGGCAGGCAGAGACCTCAGGAGGTCTCTGGCCTGACCTCCTGCTCAAAGCAGTGACTGCTCTGAGCTCAGACTTGGTTACATGGGACTTTATCCAGGCTGGTCTTGTAAACCTCCAAGGACACAGAAGATACAACCTCTCTGCACAGCCTGCTCCACTACATGGGGAAAAGCTTTTCCTTCAATACAGCCTGAACCTCCCTTCTTTTCACTTTATGTTTTCTTTCATTTTCCTGCCACTTTGAACTGCCTGGCTCCATTTTTCCGCTCACCCCCTCACAGGGGCTGTCAGGCTGCACAGGCCCCACTGCCCCAGGCCCTCCTCACCTCAGCAGCACCAGGGGCTTGTGCTGAACCTGCTGTGGTTTATTACAGAATCATAAAATGCTCTGGGTTGGAAGGGACCTTAAAGATCACCTCATTCCAACCCTTCTGCCACGGGCAGGAACACCTCCCACCAGACCACGTTGCCCTTCAGGCACTGGAAGCTGCTCTAAGGTCTCCCTGGAGCCTTCTCTTCTCCAG